TCAAAAGCTGATAAGCTTTATAAAGTGACAAAACATGCCCTTGTGTAATATAGAGAGAAACCTGGAATGTTTTAGAAAACACCGTATATCTCTGAAAATTATCTTTAAAATAGTAATGATATAATTAACATTTATTGGAGTGCAAATGTAGGTAGAGGTAATAGAAACTTTAAATATGTTACAAACAGTTGCCTGATATAGGTATCATAAAGCTGCACACAACTTTTAAATTATAAAACAAAGACAGCTAGCTGTAGTTGCATGTGTAAAAGCAATGTATTTTTTATTTTTGTACAAAAGTCTTTTACTGCATTAATGTAGTATTGCTTCGGGGCAGCAAAACAAACATGTTTTTGTAAAATGTAAAAAGCGCTATAACTCCCTAGGAAATATGATACAGGTACAAGCTTTTAGTTCTATGCTCAGATATTTCAAAGAGAGACCAGCTTTTTCTCGGCCAATAGTGCATACATATTCATTTGGAGAGTTTTAAAAATACATTTTTAACACCATCCACTCTCTATTTTAAATTTACTAAAACATTAAATTTTTATTAAGTACGTATTACCGACAAAGTGTTTAATGGATTAAACTACTTTTTATATTCATGTACACAGAAACGTGAATCCATTTAAACCATATATTAAGAATTAATTTGAAAAATTCGAAAAGGATTTTTAAATGTATGTAAAAATAATGATAAAAAGTATTTGCAAGTTTGTCTATTTTAGCGACGCATTTAGGATAACTTATAGTTTGAAATAGATGTTCCAGGTAACGCAATTCAACCTAATTTTCCAAATTATTAATCTCTATTAAATGAGCCGACCATTGTGTCGGTTTCCGGACAGCGATGACTATGCTTTTGCCAAAGTAAGTGTGCGTTATAACGTTACAGTGTTGCACTTCCAGTCGGAAGACCATATCGTGTATTAGTAACGCATTCCTTTGCTAACGCAGTTCACAGTTGACCTCTTTTCCACTGCAATATTACTAAATTTATCACCATGTTCTCCAATGGCCTTTACATTAAATTTCACTGGATATTAAGAGGAATTGCTTCTGTGTCACGACACGAAACATAATTGCTTCGTAATTCAAACCTAGTATTTGTAATCAAAATATATTTTAATAAATTTGTTTTTATATAATTAATTAATTTTTAATTAAACTATTTCACTTAAAAAATTCTTATCTAGTTAAATTTGGCAATATGTGTATCCCTCTGCAAGTAACATTTTTCTAACCGTAATGTGGCGCCCTCTGAACTGAAATCTATTAACAACAAAACTAATAGATCGAGCTTTACATTTTGGAAGGACTAACAACTAAGGACTAAGCCCTTTATTAATTAAAGTATTTAGTTGGGTATACTAATTTTTGTGCAAATGTATAAAATTTTATTTTTTTTTTGGATTCTTTTTTAATTATAAAATTATAAACTGATTAAAACAGAGGAAAAAGCCGTTTGTAGGTCTAATTAATAATAATCAATACATTATTATCAATTTATTTTAAATGTTCAATAAAATAGAAAAACAAAATGAAAACGATATTTTAAAAACGGTTTGAATATTTTATCGGAACAACAATGTTGCTACAATGCCGAAAATATTAAACATGGAGGTACCTATATAATATTATATATGAATAAAAAAAAAATAACACAAAGTTATGACTAAGAGAACTAAAACTAAAATAATATAATTTTGAAACTTGGTATACAGTTATTGTTTAAGATATTTCTTTCTGATTCTTCTTATTTTTTTTTACAGCCGCTTGTATATATTTCAATTTTTTAATAGGCATATTTCTGGATTTTCTAGAGTCTATAATTTCCGGTAAAATACAGTCAAAATAAAATTGACAAAGAACTGGTTTCATGCTTTTTTACCCAGAACTCAAGATCACGAAATATGGTGTCAGTTTTTAAACCGTGAGTTTAGGAACAGGAACAGCAAATACACAGTATGATCATCTGGAAATTCGCAGTTGTCCTTGCACCTGATAATACCATTTGTGCTTTTATTAATGTCGCCGTTTTTCGACCAAAAGGAATTTTTTTTGTTTGAATACCTTCTTCAGGCGTCATATTTCGTGCTGAATATGGGTATTTAATTTTGACAATGCCTTTGTCATCTATTAGGCCATCAGGAGTATCGGCTAAAAAGGAACTTTCCTCATCTATGAAAAGAACACATTTTCTAATCGGTTTGCCAATAGTTTTTTGTAGTTGCTCTATTGCTATTTTTTAATTTTGTTGCCATAATCAGAAGCCGCTGAGAAAAATACCTTTATGTGCAAGATAGCTTCTACTAGCGACCTTCTTTTACATACTGATCCAAAAATAGCAGCAGTCAGACGTTTTCTTCTTTTCAAAATCCAAATATCGCAATCTGCCTGCTCCCGTGTTAAGCTTTCTATTTCTAAGATTTCTTCATTACTTTTTTTAATTTCTTCTAGAAATTTAGTTTTAGCTTCTAAATATTCAGTCATGTCAGGCTTTTCACATTTCTGACCGTAACTTTCACATCCATCCGTAAATTTTTTTTTTTAATTGTAAATCTTTCATCACAGTTTCTGTTGGCTTGAAGGGCTTATTACAGAAGTATCCTGTAGATTTACATTATTTGTGTTCCCAAACACGTGACTTAATGAGTTGTTTAGTCGCTCTTTAAATTTTCGATTTTTGTGAAACGGACAAACTTTCGTAAACTTTTCAATGTTGTATGGATTTATGAACTAATCTGATTTTGCTAAAATTTAAATAAATATTTCTTACTCTGGGTCAGTAAAATTCTATTTAATTATTTAATTATTAATAACTATTTTTTATGTAGACTATTCATAAATAAAAATATTAGAATAATAGACTAATAAATGACACTGCATAAAAATAAAACTGTTTTCTTATCATCTGATAATGAAATCAAAGGATCAAAGGTCCAGCATTTGTATCTTTAACTAATTCTCTAATTTTTTTGGAGTTATTGCACAGTAAATTGTTTTTACATTAAATTTTTTTCAATAGGGCCTGGGAATATGGATGAATATCTAGTATCCTTTTATAAGTATTGCTGTCTCCATCAGCTATGACTTTATGGTATATCAAATTGTACATAACCACACTGTTTTGAAAGCCCTCCGCTATTATATCCGCTTCCATACTTTCTGCAGAGCCAGACCAGTTTTTATAACATTTATGCGCCATTCTGTATTCTTATTTTTTTTTTAATGAAAAATTGCAAAGCGTACAAAACTTATTTCGCACGCTGAGGAAAAGCACTTTTTTGTTCTAAAGCCAACTATTGCTGCTGCTGCTCGTGATAACGAGTTGTAGCCATAGATAAATTAATAAAGAAGATAGTCGGATCCCGTGTTAATTTTTGGAAACAAATAGTGCTGCGAATTAGTATGGATCGGATTTTTTTTTGAACTACACTGGCTGATTGACTTGTCAGGTAGAGGCTGGATAAAAAACAGAAGAATAAAAAAAGAAGAGCTTTAAGCGAACCGCGGTTCATTCAAATATAATTTATTATTTATTTACATTTTTTTGGCATTCATTACGCTAAAAAAAAACAATATTTACATCAAAATAATGCATTTAACATAAATATTAGTTTTTTTTCGTAATAAAATCCCAAAAAATATAAACAAAAAATATTTACATTAAAATAAAATATTTGAAACATATATTTTAATTATTTATTATACATACATACATACATACATACATACATACATACATGAGCTCAATATTAAATAACAATTGTAAGTATAATGAATAGTAGATTCTTGAAAAAATGAACCATATTTTGTTGGAATTCCTATAAAAACAAAACACAAAGTGTACTTATGTCTTATTGAACAATGTCTCTTATCAAATATTAATAAAATACAACTTTTTCTCTTTAGGACTTAAATTTCTGGCTCTACTTTTATTTATTTATTGTTTTTCTTCGTTTCAAGGGTCATTCAAATTGTTCATCACTAATTATTAAGTTTGCAACTAATTTCTTGTTTTTCTTATGCTGCTATATTTGTGCTTCAGCCTCAACTTATTCTAAAATCTAATTCTCAGGTTATATATTGGAACTGGATGCACAATTATCTAATGAAATTGGTACAGAATGTCCAACTAACAGTTTACGTTTTGATGAAACCCTACTAAAAGACTCAGGCAAAAATGGTCTGCACAAAGATAGCGAGTATTATTATCTAAAGTTAAATTTAAAGTCTTAAATCAGTTCTGGCAAATTTTAATATCGGAAGGAAAATTAAAAAGTTTATTACTTAATTATCCAACTTTCTGAATTTTAGAATAACACTTATTTAAACAATTAGGAGCCGAACAAGAATACTCTCGAGAATACTTAACTAAACCCGGGCCAGACATTTTTTGTTTCAAATATTAAAACAGAATTGAAAATCCATGAAATATGAAATTATTTAAGGTTAAGAAAACAATGATAAACAAAGTTCTTAAATAAATCTACACACCTTTAATATTAAATTAAATTGCTAATACTTACTAATTACATCAAATCAACACTGTTTATCTTCTTAAAAATAACTTGACGATCTTTAGAACTTCATCATAATTCATAAAATAAGTTTTATCATTTCTTTGTCATATTTGGCCTTCCGCCATCACGGTTTTTCATTTTTTACGAGGTTGTCAACTCATTCTTTTAAAAATCCCAACAATAGTATGGACATTTTATGGATGCTATGGTGCGCATGTAGATTGATAAAAAAATAACTCTCATCTCATGAAAGTTTACGGAAACCGGCAACATCGCTTTCATACTATTGCGATAGTGGCGCTAACTAATAGTATGCTGGGAACTACAAGATGTTGACAGTGGCGTGCATTTAAAAAATTCGTCTTGTATTATTAATTTATCTATGGTTCTAGCTGCGTCCGTAGGAACGTTTTGCCCAACTACCATCTATAACGACGGTTATTAAAGGTGTTCCATTCTTGTTCACATCACCTTCAGCAATTGCTAACCTTCGCTCTTCTTCGGCAGCGTCTTTCATTGTTTGCGTACTCGTTTCCTCCAAAGCATCAGAAATTTTATCGTGAACTTTAATGTAAAGTCTCTGTGACATACATGGTATGTCTAGAGAGTCACTAATTTGTTCTAAATGATCAAATGCTGAGCTGATTGACGTTACACCTATCACTGCATCTTTATTTACATTGTCTTGGGTATCATGCGAGGTTTTAAATTTGAAATGCATTTAGATTAGAAATGAGACCTTTCCTTTTTTTTCTGTATGAGCATATTTAAAAGAGAACAGCTGAATTCAGTCACAGCTGAATTCAGTCAAATGATTAGAAAAACTTATTAGTGAGTTTATGAAATAGTTTAAATCTGCTATACGTCGACTTTCTAAAATTATTGAAGATTCGTAAGAAAGATTATAAATTGACTCTAGCTCATTTTTATCTGCAACTTGTTCTTCAACTTTTTCCTAAAAATGGTTTTTTTTACTTTAAAAAATAAAAACTAGCACTACGTTATTTTCCCTCAAAGTGCACAGATCAATGGGAAAATTGGAGGTCTTATTTTTTCAACATCCTAAAACTCCACAACAATGACTTTATTGAAATTGTAAATCTCATATATGCATTAACGATTTTTATTTCATTTTTAAATTTTAACGAGGAAATAGAATTTATTATAATAAATAAATATTCAAAATATGACATGACCTTTCTATTTTTTTTATTTTTATCGTTTAAAACCCCTTCTAACGTTCATCAATGAGTTTGTTTTGAAGAAAAATAAACTTTTTTGTATGACTATTTAAACATTGAACACTCCAGAAAACGTACATCAATGAGTTAACATTGTGAATAAAAAAAGGCCTTTGTAAAATTTTATTTGAATCTGTTTGCTCGTTTTTTACGATTTTATTAAATTTTCAAATTAAATATAACCTTAGAGTACGCGAATAAATTTAATATTTTGAAAAATAAAAATAGTAATCTACTAAAATATTTTTGCAAAATTTGGTTTAAATCTCCCATTTCTATCTTTTCATGTTTTTCTTTGGTAAACCCCCCTAAAACCTCCTTCCTACGTTCCGATTTTGTTCAAAAAGCAATCAGCTCTAGAATTTCACATTTTAGATTTTTGGGGAAAATTTCATGAACATAATTTGATTAGGATTTAATACCTCACTATTACTTTTAATTTATTTTGTTACAGTCAGATTCTCTGATGTAGTAATTGGTGTAAGCTATAATTGAAAAATTTATGTAATTATAAGTATATATGATTAGTTTTATTTTTACCTCTTTTCTTAAAGAAAAATGTTTACGCTGTCGTCTCTTTGTACTTAATTTTAGATGGACCTTATTTCCCTTGCGATAAAATGGTTCTTTTTTCTTTTGTAACTTACCCATTTCTAAATTATTTCAAATGTCTTTGAATAATACGACACAACCACAATAAAAATATAATTAATGAATAAATCGCGCAGCGTACGTAAATAAACTAACTTCTGTCCTGATAAGTCTATCGCAGAAGACCGAATAGTTTCTCACTCTAATAATGCTTTAAGTAGGAATGGGATGAACAATCTACAGACACGCCTTCGTCAAGTGTGAAATTTGCAACTTCCGGCACCCCCTGACAATTTTAAGTAAGGGATCCTTTGGATGATGATTCTTAATATATTAAGTATTCATTTTGCAGCTGTGACGTACTACGTGCAAATAAACTAATTAATCAAGATTTGACCAATCCGTCAGTTGAGTCCAAAAGGCACCTTCTATCAATAAATCTTTCTAAAACGGTAGTAATAATTTTCGGTAAACATAAAGGCCAAGTTGAAAGAGAGATGAAAGTAAATATAGAAGAGAAAGTATTGCCCCTTGCTTAAGTTGCTAGAAACTTAGGTTTAGAGATTGATAATGAATTGAGATTCAAGCCACACGTATCAAAATATATCCAAAAGGCCTACGCCAATTGAAAGATCTTTTTCCTCAGACATGTTTTATCTACATCCACTAAAATTCTGCTTTGTGATTCTTTAGTTCTTAGTCATTTTAATTACTGTCATAGCGTATATGGCCTTTGTTTAGAAATTACTGACAAAAATCTTATCCAAAGAGTACAAAGATCCTGTCTGCGTTTTATTTATGGAATAAGAAAATTTGATATAGTAATTCACAAATTAAGTGATGCTAAATGGTTGGATATAACATGTAGAAGAAGACTTTCATATGGCTACTCTGTTTCACAAAATAATTTTATTTAAGTCGCCCCCATATTTGTTTAATTAAGTTAGATATCGCTCAGATATTCACAATATAAATATACATTCACGCGGTAAAATATCTCTACCACCTTATCGCACTTCGATGTTCCAAATATCCTTTACTTACATGATATATAGGATTTATATATAACAGAATTTCAATAGAGTTAAAAAATTACAGTATAAGTCGTTTTATGTTTTATGTCAGACTGATGTAGCGGTGAGGATTTTACTCGAATGAGGTCTCATGCACCTGCAAAAAAATGGAATCTAAACTTACATTACAGTGTTTTTTGAAGACGATATAAAAAATAAATATTGCACTGGCCTAAATTAATTCAAGAAACTAAATATTTGTCTATGTTAGGTATGTACCTATATCATAAAAACTTAATTAAATATTTACCGATTTCAGTAGCTGGGAGGTAAATTGAACTATGTCGTACTATTTATAGATGTATCTTGGAGGCATATGACACTATGTCATAAAAAAATTGTTATCGGAACATAGAAATATGTTACCTATCAATTCATGTATATTAAAAAAAGTTTTATTTGTTAGATTATTAGTAAACAATACATATTGTGACAATAATTGGGGCTGACTGCATTTCTTGTCGAAATATAATTGATATATGTAAATATGGAACACAAAAGTGTCCAAACAACATTTAATCTGCTCTACTAAAACAATAAAATAACAGCAACTCACAATTTAAAAACCCTCATTTATTGATATAATATGAAACGCAATCTTTATTTTGAGGTTATTCTTGAGGCCCCTAAAAAGGGGGGTTGGATTTTGATAACCCCCATCTTGCACCATATCGAAAATAATCATTACCAATCCAGAAAAGATATAAAAAAGGTTAGCGAAGGAGATCGGTCTTCTCTTCGAATTTTTCTATTTTTTTAATTATCTATACTACAACCAATTTCTCACAAATGTATAAAAAAAATCCCCACCCCAACTAAACTTAGGGGGGGAGAAAATTCACCCCCTTCCCCACCTACATTTAGAGGGCATGTCCAATTCGTCGTACCTAAAGTTCTTTTTCATAAGTCTAGGGGTTCTATATATCGACCTCCATGGGTGGGGGGAGGGGTGAAGTAAGGGTGGGGAGAAGTTGGACAGTTTAAAATCGTTTCAGGTGGTGCCTAAGTTCTCTCTTTTATTTATTTTTTTGTTTTTCGCGAACCTCTATCCGGCCATGTAATATTATCCATGTTGGTTCGAAATTAAAGGGTGCTCATGTTCGCTATAGGCTAATTTTATTAGTTAATCATAATGTAACGTTCATAGCTCGTCGGCATCAACTACAAAGGAATTAAATGAGAGATATCCTTCTGGTTATTATTTATTCTTATGGCTCAGTGTTCCTCCACCAATATTTATATATACATTTAAAATTGTGGTGGTGTTATAGAACGTTCTCACCAAAACTAGAAACATTATCACGTTCTACCTGGAATGTACTCGAAAGCGCCTTCGCCATAGTCGTCACATGTTTGGTCTTAAGGGGTTTAATTATGTATGATAATCGGATAAGTTAAGCCTCAAAGGCAAAATAAGACAAAGAGGGACTTGGAGGATTAAAGCATGACTGAATAATGAAATGGCTCGCATTACAATAAATTCATAATTATTGTGGATCAATGGATTTTATATATCTAAGGTTTGAAAAAAATACTATTAGCAAATTTTTATTATTGATAACATTAAAACTCGTCAATAGCTACTAAATAAAACTAAAAAAAGAAAATCGGTTCACAAATAGGAGAGAAAATGGTACTGAACTATTTAGTCTTTGCCTATTTATATGTAGATAATAAAAAGTTTATTCATTATAACACTATGTAAAAGCAAGACATTATAATGAATGCTGAATACCAGCAATTTAAGACTGGCCGCATAGTACACGTCCACTGTAGCAAGCAATCATCGGTGTTTCCATCTATAAACGCGGGACGGAGCCCTCCTGGACTCTTGGGGGTTGAGTCTGCAGCAAGCCTTTTGACTTTTACCATGCTTTTACCCAATACAGTTACTTACCCTTCATAAGGCCATCATCAACCAACATAATGTTGGACTTCTATGTAAAGGCCAAAAGTAAGCTTTTATCTTTTAATCTTTTTTTCATTTTCCTTTTAATTACAACAAACGGCCAGAAAAATCCCGACAATTCATTGCTTGTTGGGAAGATTTGTATGACCTGATTTTTCTCGGTGTATTTATTGATACATTATTATCATTATAACTTATTACTATAGTCTATTTTTATGTATGAGAGAGTATTAAAATAATAAAGCGTTCGTAATCCATAGGCGTACCACTTCTTTTAGTAGACAGTTAAAATATTTTTTTAAGTTATTCCTCGAGTATACACTTATATTTTCACCTAATTAACCTGCTTATAACTTCTAAACAGCTGAAGGTAAAAAAGTGCAATTTTTTCTAAAATGTTTTATTTTTCCACAAGGTATGTTAAGAACATTGTGTCAAACGAGTTATGTAGGTATAAGGGTTAAACTTTGACTTTTAAACAACGTTACGTTCATAAATAATAATTTTAATATAAAAACTACTTCTTACCTACAAATCCAAATCAGAATCGAAATCCGAAGATGAACTGTCGCAACCAATATTTACAATGAGTGGCTCGATCATTTCATCAGTAATATTGTCCAACTTCCACATTTTCTCTTCTTCTTTAATCGTATAATTTACTGCCTTTTCCCAGTTTTCAGGCTTCACATTATTTACAGCCTCCAAAAACAACTGTTTTTCATTACTCATTTTAAAAGAATTATTTTTTCTTGAAACTTCTCCCTTTATCTGTGCCCATATTAGTTCAATCGGGTTTACTTCGCAATGATATGGTGGTGATCTAACCACCGTCATCCCACGATTTTTTGGAATTTCATCAATTTCATATTTTTTTGAATTGCTCTTTATGAAGGGAACACAAATG